ATGTGTAAGATCTAGAAAAGCCGAAGTGAACGGAGAAGTTCATGGAGGCAGGCCTAGGCCCTCTGGGGCTGTAGTGCCAAGGAAAAAAAAGGGTAGAGTTGTCCCCGTGTTTAACTAATTAAGCATTACGCCATGAAGACGTAGGGGGGAGTGGATGTATAGATCCACATTTTCTTGATCTCTGTACTAGCTGGAGGTGCGTTATCAGCTTCACGCCCTACCCGCTTTATCCCCGGAGAAAGAGTTCCCAGTACCCACTCGATAAGAGGTTGGGTGGACACTAGTGCCGGTCTGGACCATTTGGAGAAGAGATAATTCTCAACTCTTCCGGGACTGGAACTACGACCCCTCAGTCGTCCAGCCCACACCCAATCGTTATATCGACTACGCTACCAAACCGAATAATAACAAACACAAATCGTGACACTAAAACGTGCGTTTCTATGTGGCCGTGTGTATGACCAGTTAAAGTAGCAAGAACACGGTCCAAATAAGCAGGAATTTCATGGATCTTTCGCTTTTATCGCAGGCTGCAAGCTAACATGATTCTTGCATAAATAACAGGTTTCCGATACAGTAATGACACCATTAGTGTGATTTGCATTTAAGTAGATCATACAGAGCGTGCCTGGGATCGGGGGGGGGAGGTGTCGTGTCATGGTACTGAGCTACTCCTACACGGCAGGGGTTCGGATACGTGGGTGGTCGGATTGCTAATAGACGGTCTTAGCTAATCACAGCCGATGCATGCAACACGGTTAATTCGCCCCAGTATCGAATCAAGTACTACAGCAGCCACCCCTCCACAACCTCAGTGCATGACAACCTAGGCCAGTGACTTACTATTAGTCGGCTGACGCGTGGGATGTAATGGCTATATACTCTGTGCTTAGAAAGGCGAACTGAAGCGAAATTGTTAAGAGTAAAATTCTGGAGGGGCTGGTCACGGTAGCCGAGCGGTCTAAGGCATGTACTGTCTTCGCTCGCTTGGAAACCGAGATCGTGGTTTCGAATCCGGCTCAGGGAATGGATGTTTAGTTTGTGTGTGTGCGTTTTTCTGTGTTTGTGTACAGGTAGAGGCCTTGCGACGAGCTGATCACCCGCCCAAGGAGTCCTACCGAATGGGTAAGATCTAGAAAAACCGAAGTGAACGGAGTTCATGGAGGTAGGCCTAGGCCCACTGGGGCTGTAGTGCTAAGGAAAGAAAAAAAATCTGGAGGATTTGACTGTCTGATATCACTCTCTCACATAATCTTTATGTACAGAAAACTTAAGAGATGAAATTTACTTAGAGGCAGATACGCCTTACGAACACATTCCCTGAAAGTCTATGCAATGTACGAGACGGAAATTTTAAATTCATATGAAGCACAACGGGCATTTGTTCTCTCTCATCTTTTCTCATCTCCCATATATTTCTTCTTATTATCCTCTCATTTATTCCCTTATGTCCTCTCTTCCTTCTTCAGCTGTTCTTCTTACTGCTCCTTCCCCACGTTTCCCTATTCCTCTTTCGCTCTCTTCTCTTGTCTTCCTGTTACTCATCAGAATCGTAGCATGGACAGCTGAGAACTCATCGTCTGAAAGGGCTACAGGCCTCTTGGACATATATCTCCTTCTTGCGCGGTCTAAGGCATGAAACGTCTTCGTCCTTTCAAACACTGGGACCTTGGGTTCGAATCCCACTGGAAGCATGAATGTCTGTGTGAGTTTATTCTA